AACTGAGGGATTTTTGGTGGCGATTCAAGACAACGTTATCGCAACACGAAATCATATCCAAATTATCCATGGAGTTCGACTCGATAACGACTTGTGCAGAATGTGTCGTCGCCACTCAGAAACAATAGAGCACATAGTATCGGGATGCACGGTATTAGCGCCTACTGAATACCTAAAGCGTCATAACTTAACGGCCAACATAGTTCATCAGCATCTGGCAGTTATGTGCAATTTTCAAGAAAAAGCTGAACAATATTTTAAGTATGTTCCATTCCCGGTCCTAGAAAGTGATACATACCTTCTGTACTGGGATACGCCAATACAGACCGACAAACCAGTATCCAGCAATAGACCTGACATCGTCTTTGTAAGAAAAAAGGAGAAAGTGGGCTTCTTCATCGACATCACGCACCCCAACGATCATAATCTAGAAAAAGCAGAAAAGGAAAAAAATAATAAATACTTCGAATTGGCCGAAGAATATAAAAGTATACATAAACTAAAAAGTATTACCATAATTCCCATAGTAATTTCAGCTACTGGTCTGGTTTCGCAGAAGTTGGAGTCGTACCTAAAACAAATAAACATCACTGACAAAAATATCTTCACAACAATGCAAAAGTCAGTTTTACTAGAAACTTGTCGTATTGTGAGAAAAACTCTGAACTTACCTGCCAATGAATAAAAGTCGCACAACTCACACTTGAAAAAATTTAAAGCCTGATTAATTGACTGATTCCGTAAGAATCCCAATTTATCAACAACCCTGAGAAGGAGAAAAAAAAAAAAATAATAATAATAAGTAATAGTAATATCTGCAACTGGAATTGTGCCACTTACACTTACAAAACATCTAGAACAACTGAATGTAAAACACAGCTTAACACAAATAAATAAATCTGGGTGCTTGACACGTGTCATATTGTCCGAAGATTTCTTGGCTCACAGACAAATTAGCCGAATCCAAGCATATACTGTTGGTGCACCAGCACCCCAGAATACTGCAAATATAACCCAGGTTAACCTGAGATAATTCTATCAAATAATAATAATAATAATAATATTGATGATAATAATGAATAATAAAAATTATTTTTACTATTATTACAAAAAAATAAAAAATATACTTTAGAAAAAAATAAATTTTTTATTTGTAGGTACCTATAGTTGATTTTTAGTTACTGGTTAATACGTTAATTCGATTATTTTTATTCTATTCATGGAGAGTATATGTTTTTTTAGTCTTGTCTTAAACTGAGATATCGACAGAGAATTTTTAATTTTTATGGGTAGTGAATTTAAAACCTTGGGTGCTAAAAACAAATGGCTTTTTTGTCCTACTGTTTTACGGGCTGCTGATTCTTCTAATTTATTCATTGCCTTGGATCTTGTTTCATATTTATGTGTTACATTTTTAAGAAGACTCTGATTTTTAAAATAATAGTTTGCTATTTTAAAGAAAAAGTTTTGTTTAGGATCAAGTATTTCTGCTTCTTTATATAATTGGTCAGATGGGTAAGTGCGTTCTTTTTTTAATATAATTTTTAAAAAATATTTTTGTATTACTTCGAAATGATCCATATTACAATTTAAACTTCTTATATTTTGATGTAAAACGCTAAAACCCGTTCTATTGTGATCCTTATTATTAAAGTCTTCAGCAGTTCGTAATACAGTAGTTGGAAATTTCGTGTAGTTATTGTCCCTCATAAGTACAATTATTGTCTTTACATAAACAAAGAGAGGATTGCGTACAGAGATATTCTATGAAATGGTAGAGGTACCTTTCAACTTCGACCGAACGGAAAGCGGTAGAACAGCATTAAGTATAAAACTTCTTGGTGTTTTCATTTAAAAATAGAAAATAAATTGTGATTTACTGTTATTTCCGGAAAACCGGAAGTGCGCTATGACTTCACAGAATAAATGAATACGTTATAATAAAGCTCTTACTCGAAACTTTTAAACAAAATAATCATTTCGATATCTCAATTAATAACAAAGATAAGAGGGGATGGAACTTTTAAATGGCCCACCCTGTATATCACCTATATTTTGCAACATTTGTTTAAGACACCCGTAGCAAGGGGGCGCCAGGGGGGCTGAGCCTCCCCTAAAGCTTGTCTGAGCCCTCCCTAAAAAAATTGCCATAAACGGCCTTTATTAATAAAAAATGCAAACAATTAACAATGAGTCGCGTTCCAGTGTTCTTGACATAATATTAGTAGAGCTAAAACGTAGATTTAACAACAACAGTTTTTCTATTGAAGCTATTATGTCGAGGGAAAAATTAGAAATTAAAAAATGTAAACCACTGGCTGAAGTGGACATTCAATTGCCAAGTACCACGGAAATGGAAGTCGCCAAGAAATATATAGATCGACAGATAAACGAAAATGCTGCAGAGAATCCCGATATTTTCCAATCTATTTTTAAGCCATAAACTGCTTTTAAAGACACTTATGAATTTCTATCCTCGTTAGAATTGATAGACCTCAGCTTAGGTCAATGTTAAATCCAAGACTATCAAACCTTACCTATTTAGCATTTGAAAAAGAGAGGGTACAAAATTTAAGTATTGACAATCTGTTTGTTCAGTTTAATAATTTAAAAAATAGAAAACTGCAATTATTCTAATAATTGATAAAAAAAAGTTATTTATTTTTAATCTCTTTGGTCTATTTGTTACCGCTTTTACTACTTCACAACTCCCCTCAACCAGTTCCTAAGATAAAAGTTCATAGAAAAATATATTTTATTATTTTTTGATAGTATATTTTTTAGATTAATTAAAATGTTTTCTTGAATAAATATCCGTTTTGCAATTCCATGTTTTTTTTTTAAATACTCTCCTCGAAAGAAGTAAGACAGAACAAAAATTCTCATACCTTTTTGGTATTTCTATACTCTAGTAAAGAAAAAAAATGTCCCTCCCCAAGATTTTGTTTAGCCCCTCCTGAAATATGGGGCTTGCTACGGCCCTGATACACTGTACAATAGATTGCGACGTGCGGACGTGCTCGAAGAGCACGTCTTTACACCAATATCTGAATACACTTTATTATTAATGACGTGTTCCAAAAATTTTATACATATGAGAAAAAGATTTGTTCTGAAAAACAATTATTCTTGTTAAAAAGTTCTACATCACTTGGGACTCCATAATCGAATATTATTATTTTCGTCTTGATTTTAAGTATTCAATAACTTCCAAAAATAAAACCTCAATTTCTATTTTCCCTGTATATCACCTATATTATACAAATTTTAATATTTGATTCCTTTATTGCCAATTAAATTTCAAATGCATTTTCTTAAAATTTCTTCATTACGGTTTTATAAAGAACAAAAATTATAGAGAATGGCGTCTCAAATGATTCCTATTGAAAGAATTTTTTTCTATAATACCTATCTAATAAATAACAAAAATATACCTTAAATTAGATATAAATTACCTCACTAGAAAGTACCACCCAGATACTCCGACTCTGACCAATAAAATCTATTCATCTATTAGCTCACCGCAGGATGGATTAAAGCTGAAGTTTAAAATTTGGTGTCTTTCTCTTTATCAGTCTGAGTTTACCATACAAATGTCAAAATCTTGATTAAAATCGATTTTTTTTTTCGGTATTCGCTCCGTGCGCGACAGCAGCGCCAATTTGTTTTGGTATTAAAGGAGTATTTCTGCCTATACTGACAAATACAATTTTTAATAGAATTCGTAAATAAAAAATATATATGTTAGTTTTAATAAAAGTATATGGATTTATAAAACAATTAAAACATTAATTTATTATTATTATATATTTTTCACGCTTAAATTGAAGAAAATTATGTATAATCATTAAAAATCAATAATAAAATATAGGCAGGCAACAGTATTTACTGGAAAATGTATGAGAAGTTGCCTAAGTCTAATAAGTTGTCATTGAAGAAACCATTTATAATAGCGTGAAGTTAAAATGTATAAAAAGGATCGCTACTTATATTTTCATTTTTGTTCTAAAGAAAACATAGAATGAATGATTAAAACTGGTTTCCGATCAGTAAGTCACAAAATTGCATACCCGCCAAATATTATAATCAACGGCAGAAATCTTGAAATCTAGTCCTTGCTGAATGAACATTTAAGAATAAAGGGATATTAAAGAACATCGTAAAATGATAATTTATTGTTTATTTAAAAACTTTCTAGTTTCTGATGTCTACTATTTCCAGCATTACTGTTATTATCACAAAAATAAAGGTAATTTTTCTTCTTATTGTACACCTATCCATTTATTTCTTTGATTTAATTTCCACTTTGTTAGTGAAATTTGTTATATAAGTTTTACTGTTTTTTTGCTAGTATTTGTACAATTTTCAACACAGCAACTCCGGTTGCTTATTGTGTTGTTTTTACCTACTTTTTTGAAAAAAAGTAAAATGTATACGTGTATTTGATATGCCAAAATTACAAAATATCCCCCTAAAATGCACGAATTATCCGCAGCTAGCGCTAGTATCGCTTTTGCTTCCCTTTCCATGACTTCGCACGGAGCGAATAGGTACATTATATTAGCAAAAAAAAGTATATTTATTATTATTTTAAGATAAAAGCTTTTTCAGACATATTGAGAGAGTTTTAAAAGAAATTCTACACCTACATACTTCTATATTTTTTAATTTAGGTACAACAAACCTAATATACCCTATCCTATTGAAATTTTATTGAGTCAGTAATAGACTATTTTAGAAAAAAAAAATGAAATTATTACATTAGGTAAATAGATCTAGAACCTATAGCAAATATAAGTATACTGAAATAAATTTAAAATTAGTGAACGAAAACGGACTAGCAATTTAAAAATTGAATAAAATTTTATTAACTTTTACCCAAACGTATACCCAACGTTGAATAGGTACCTACCTATAACAAGGCGTCATGATCATATTCAAGATTCAACAAACCAGTAAAATTTGACAGTTATTCGACATTTAAATTAAGTAATTCTTACCTCAAATACTAATACAGTTGCAGAAAATCCGATTTCATATTTCTAGCACAATATTAATTGATATTTTTTCTAAAAAATGTTTTTGAAACCCACTACACAACTCTTTAAGAAGCCATTTTATTAAACTGAAGTCATTTGTTTATATGGCCGTAAATTAGATTCACGAAAGCATAGAGCTGTCTTGATGAAGACGCTTGCAAAAATATTCTGCATTAGGCTAGCGCCACATTAGGTAAAAAGTTTAAGACGCCGCAAAATGAGCGGCAGATCTTTGCGTAATAATTCAATTGGTAAACGCATAGATTTACTTTTTCATATCTAAGTTATCATTAACTGGATGAATTATAGTGAAACTTTGGCAGCTTATGGGAAAATGTTTAATAACTGTAATTAAGACAATTTCATTTGTCCTGCTAATTATTATAAATATAGTTGTACCACATTTTTAAAACTTGCATTAAAAGATAAGTATAAGGAAATTATGAGATTAGGGTTGTGCATTAATTGCTTAAGAAAGGGTCATTCTAAATTTCAGTGTAGTTCAGGTGGTTGCAAAACTTGTCATGCAAGGCATAACACTATTCTTCATGGCACAAATACTGTAGAAACTAAAACACTATCGGTTGCATACCTAGTAGGCCTTAACACTTACCTTAAAAATATAAAAAAAGTGTCAAAAACTAGACATTATTTGACATAATTTTTTAAATATTCTTGCCAAATTTGAATAATTAGTTTGACGTACATTTAAAAGTACGAGTGAATTGCGATTTGATATAAAATTGAAAATTTCGTTGCATCCACATTGAATTTTAGTATTTTTAGTTCGAGAATTTAGTAATAGGTGTCGGATGGAGCAAGAGTAGCGAAAGTTCCGACACGGCGGTGTTGTCATGTTTCAGAATTGTCTAGAAATAAAAGAAAACTATATTTTGCAAAATATTGACAATTTATTACACAAATATAAATCATATATTTATAAAGATTCAATTTTTAACGATTTTTGTTATAAAAATGCATTCTTTATAAAATTTTGTGCTTTGTCTAAAATCGAATACTGAATTATTAAAATATTAAATAAATGTTCTATACGAGGGAAATCAAAAATGCACTCAAGAGTAAAATGCCCTTATTTAAACAAAAATGCGAAAATTTAAAGAAAACTATAATATTATGCATAATATTTATAATTTAACCAAATAAAAACATAAGACTATTATATCCATAAATATTCATCGTTTTTATTTCAAATATATAATAAAATAATGAACAAAATTTCCTAAAATTTTTTTTAATTCCAATTAAACAGTACACAGATAGTTCGGAAATATTTCAAAATGTTACATTGAAATATTTGTAGGTAATGTATAAATATTACGAAACGTCCCTGAAACATTTCTGAAATGTGCCTGTAACGTAAAAATATCCTGTAAATATATTTTACAGTAATATTTCTAATATTAAAATTTGAAATACCTATTTTAGAAATATTAAATAGTAATATTTCAGAAATGTATTCTAGTGTTTTTCATAAATATTATGGAACGTTGTAGAAACGTTTCATAAATATTATTAGACTAAAAAGACATTTAAAAATACACAAAATACAAATATTGATTCTTAAACAAACAAATAAATAATTTTTAATCAATATTTCATAAAATATAAAGGTAAATCGCTTTGTTTCCACCAATTCCTTTAAATGTACTAATCTGAAACAAATTATAGGTAACTAAAAAGGGATTTAAAAATAGTTTTATTAATATTGTTTTAAATTAACTATAATTAAACAAACAAGACTCATGCATAAACAGAACATGAAGCTCTTCAATCAGAGCTGTAGAACTAATAAATAAAACTAGATGGTGGAACAGCAAATGTAGGTTATATTTAGATAAAAATAAGACTAAAACTGCCTGTAAATATGATAAACGAAATGGCGTCGCTCGTCTCAGAGAATGAAAAAAAGTAAATAAACCTAACTTTACTTATGCAAGCATTATTTCTGTAGTAAACTCACCTCGTTTTTTACAGGCATATTCTGCTTCCCATGAACCAACAGTACAACGCATAAATATTAAAAAAGGCAAATGACAAAAAAGACAACGCAAATCTCTAATTATTTAGAATTTAGGCCGAACATAGGATGAAATAAAATAACTACATGACTTATCTTCTTAGTTCCTTCTTACAAATTAGAAATTCTTCATTAAGGCTGCGACATTTGATCCAGCGGTTTTGCAACAAAGCAAGTATTCAATACATTGTACATAGATGGCAATACCTGTACCTGTAGCTCGTATAACAATTTTATTTTTAAGCGTACTTGTTTTTATATCCAGGTTGCCAAATCTAGGTAGACAGATACCAATAAATGTTTTAGAAGAATAAAATATTTTGCGATATCCAGTTTCAATTTAATAATTGCACTGTTACATGAAAAATTAATCTGTCAAAACTTGTACCTAGTTGGTAAGTAGTAAGTAGGTTAAATGTAACAAGAAGAAAAAAAACATTAAATTTTACTTTAGAATAATATTTCAACATTTATTAACATTATTGGTATATTGTATTCACTTGTAAACTATATTTGACGGTCAAAATAATAATTTTAATCCTAAAGAACCGGGCCAATTGAACTTTTCCACATCGCAATTTTTGGGTTGGAGTGAAAGGTATTTTATGGTTGGGTAGAAATTTTATTACTTTATGGTTTTTCCTAATCTGAAGGGTTTTGTTTACATTTTACCTAAAAATTTGCAAAACTTCTGTAAATATAAATCGATTATTTTAGAATTTAAATGATTCCTCGATTCATTTCGGTAATAAAATAAGAATTTTTAATTTTTTATGCCTACTTATTAGGTAATGGTACCTCTAAAATGCATAATGATATTACTTAAGTAAAAATATAATTTGACAATAGCGTGATCGCTCATGCTTTTGTTGATTAGACAGAAATTGTGAAACTTAACAATCGATTGGATCGATTATTGTGAATTTCGGAACTAAGCAACTGGTAGTCTCTGGCAACTGACAAGACAAAAAACTCAAATGTCGAAGGATTGAAGTCTAAACGACAAAACGTAAACAGTTGGTTTTTCGTGTTTGAATTTTGGCAAATTTTTGAGTGGGTGTTGTTATTTTATTGTGCTTTTTCGTTATTCGTGATTTTGTTACTTTCATAAGACTTCATTAGTTATAAGGATATTTAGTAGTTAGTGAATAAACTTTTACCTTATAAAATATGGGGCATCATACAAATGTCCCGAGTAGAAAGAGGAAGAGAAATAAGATGTGCAATTGGAAAGTCATGTGTTCCCAAAAGTCGTTTGGTTTCAAAGTTCTTCAAGGAATAAAAGTGTAACCAAAATTTAATGTTGAAAGATATATAAAGGATTCATTTCCAATACTTTTGACATCTGTATTATATTTTAGGTTGTTTTTATTGTAATATACTATAATCTTTTTTCTAATAAACTACTTTTTGTTTGATGTCTAATTATTTTTTATATTTCCTTCCACCCATGTCCTATCAATAATTATTTTTGCAATAAACAAAAATATTTCGGTATTTTTGCAAGTTTTGAATTAGTTTTTATTAAAATTGCTCATAAACCGATACAATTAACATTAATAAAACTGATTATAATAACTACTTCAAACAAACTCAAAACTAATATTGCAGAAAAATATCCATTTGTACACCACTTCATTGGCTTCAATTCTTAAAATTAGTCTTCATGACACGTATATGACATACAGTGAGTGCAATAAAGTTGGGTCCATATATATATGGCAATTTGTTTTAATATTGTGACCGGAAAAAACGTCATTTACCTCTGATTATTTAAAAAGTTGGCTACGTACGTTACTTACCTGTCAAATTCGTAATAATTTTGAAAAATCGCTCAAATATTCTTTTTTAAACGAGACTGACAGAACTAAATCCAGTAGTCAAATTTAATATAGGTTGGTTTAAGTTTTTAAATAACCAGAGATGATAGTTTACGATGTTTTTTCCAATCGTACTATCAAAAAAAAAATCACATATGGATCCAACTTATTGACACACACTGTATAAAGCAGGTTTGAGAACGTACAAAACTATATTTTTTTTAATTCTTGTCAACTAACAAAAGTGCTTGTGCCTTAAAATCTTCCCGATTTTGTCCATGGAGAAAGATTTTGTCACTCAATAAATATCTTTAAAACCATTGTAAACATACATAGAACGGCAACGTCGTATTATCATTGATTATCATATACAAGTATATTTGAGCAACGGTTCGTATTGTACTTTGAAATAATTTGACATGCCGTTTGCATTTCTAATTGGCCAACCAATAATTTGACATAAGACGTTTACTTTTCTGATTGGCAACCATTAGTTGTCGCCCAAGTTTCAATGCATACGTTAACTCAGCCTTGCATGTCGCATTGGTGGTGAACACGATGTACTAAAATGACATGATAATTAACGCGTCAATTTTAAAAATTGTGTCAAAATTTGCAAATTGAAATCATGCTTTTTGTAATAATTATTAGACCGACAGCCGTCATATTGTAGGATAGTTAATAAAAAATCATAGAGAATTCATTGAAAATAATTTGCTTAATCATCCTTGCAATAAAATTTTTCAAGTTTTTAATGATAATTTGAAATTATGATTAGTTATTATCGAATATGTGTATATTCAATTCATTCTTACAACATTTCTGTTTATAATTATAACTCAATTTCCTTGTAATTTTTCTTTATTAATCTAAAAAGCATGATTTAGTAACACGTGTTGTAAAATGACAAAAACGGCCGCCATTTTTAGTCCATTTCCCAGCCTTAAGTGTTGGTCTTTTACAACATAACGCGTTTAGTAACCTTCTGTGTAACATTATACCATGTTTCAGAAACATTTTCAGCGAAATATTTAACTGAAATATTTCAGAAACTTGCGTGCTTGAAATGATGTATGTTTGAAAGGTTTAAAATATTTCTGAAATACTGTGTGTTGTATCGGTTATGGCACGTTAAATGCTTTTGTTACCAAGGTATGTATGACGTCAGCAGCTCCAAAGTAACCACAATAGTGCCA